GTACCCCCTTATCATCGGCTCTAGTCTCACGTGCTTGTATGCATGCCTGACAATGTCGGAGTGTGCTCCTAATGAGACAACGGATGGTGTCCTGGGGTATTTCCTTCCAGATCTGGGCCAGGACATCACTGAGCTCCTGAACAGTCTGAGGTGCAACCTGGATGGACCAAAACATGATCTCCCAGAGGTGTTCTATTGGATTCAGGTCAGGTGAGCGTGGGGGCCATTTAATGGTATTAATTCCTTCATCCTCCAGGAACTGCCTGCATACTCTCGCTACATGAAGCTGGATATCGTCATGCACCAGGAGGAACCCAGGATCCACTGCACCAGTATAGGGTCTGACAATGGGTCCAAGGATTTCATCCCAATACCTAATGGCAGTCAGGGTGCCATTGTCAGCCTGTAGAGGTCTGTGCATCTCTCCATGGATATGCCTCCCAAGACCATCACTGACCCACCAACAAAATGGTCATGTTTGAATAATGTTACAGGCAGCATAATGTTCTCCTTGGCTTCTCCAGACCCTTTCACATCTGTCACATTCTCATCTGTGAAAAGCACAGGGTGCCAGTGATGGACCTGCCAATTCTGGTGTTCAATGGCAAATGCCAATCAAGCTCTGTGATGCCTGACAGTTAGCACAGGGCCCACTAGAGGACATCAGGCCCTCAGCCCACCCTCATAAAGTCTGTTTCTGATTGGCCAGATACATTTACACCAGTGGCCTGCTGGAGGTCATTTTGTAGGGCTCTGGCAGTGCTCATCCTGTTCCTCTTTACACAAAAGAGCAGATACGGGTCCTGCTGATGGGTTAGGGACTTTCTATGGCCCTTTCCTAGAGTAACTTCCTGTCTCCTGGAATCTCCTCTATGCTCTTGAGACTGTGCTGGGAGACACATCAAACCTTCTGGCAATGGCACCTATTGATGTGCCATCCTGGAGGAGTTGGACTGCCTGTGCAGCCTCTGTAGAGTCCAGGTATTGCCTCATTCTACCAGCAGTGACACTGACCCTAGCCAAATACAAAATTTGTGAAAAACTCAGAAAAGATGAGTAGGGAAAAAAATGTTAGTGACCTCCACCTGTAAAATCATTCATGTTTTGGGGGTCATCTCATTGCTGCCCATCTGAGGCACCTGTTGTTAATTTCAATAACACCAAAGCAGCTGAAACTGATTAACAACCCCCCTCTTTTACTTAACTGACCAGATCAATATCCCAGGAGTTTAACTGACTTGATGTTTATACTATGATTAAAAAGTGTTCCTTTCATTTTTTTGAGCAGTTTACTTATCCTTTTCCTGGCTTCCACCTGTGATGCCTAGGTGAGGGTAACACCATCCACCTTCCAGTGAGATCCCAGGAAAGGTTAAGTAGCCAAATCTCACTGAGAAGACAATGCTGCACTGTTCTGCAGTGTCTTAGTACTAAGCATTCTCTGGGATCCAGTCTCCAGGAAGATTGTGTCAACCTTGTACTACAGAAGACAAAGGAAAGATGAGTATATTATTCAACTCTTTTACCCCAACAAGTGTCTCTTTTAAATGTGGTGGTTGGAGGAGGGGGGGTGGAGGGATTTTAAAAAACATTTTAAAAGTCTAAAATTTGTTTAAAAAGTAAATAAATGAATAAAAAATAAACACACAGGAACATTACTCACCATCAATGTGATGTGTCCCTTGTGCTAAAGTTTCCTGGTTTATGTGTGATCTTCCTCTTCCGATGTCCTCTCACCTTCAGTGCCATAATTTTCCGATGTGACAGGGGTTAATAGAACTGAGGGAGCCGTGACAGGTAGACCATGCCACCCCCTTTCCACCCAGCTCCTCCATTCATGGAAGCAGTAACACAGCTTCCATGAATGAACTATGATCTATGACTGTAGGGGGCAGACCTTTCAATCATCCACCTGTTCTCCATTCAGAGATCCTGTTTCATTCAAAGAAGCTGTAGTATGACTTCTATGAATGGCAAAGCTGGAAGGATAGGGCTTGCATTGTCTGCCCACTCTTTATAAGTGCCTGCCACAGCCTTCTCAGTTCTATTATTCCACACCAGGGGTGGACTGACCATTTGGATACTCAGGCACTGCCCGAGGGCTCGGGGTCAGTAGGGGGCCCCATGAGATGCCCCTGGTACCTTTTTCATAGGCTTTTTTGAGTTTGGGCAAGGCCCCATGATCCCCTATTGCCTGGGGGCCCCATGAGTTGTCAGTCCGCCCCTGTTCCTCACCACACTTGAATGCTACAGTGAAGAGGTACTGGGGGGAGGAGGAAACATTTAACCACAGCACAGGGAACATATCACGCTGGTAAGTAATGTCCCCTGTTCTCATTTCTATCTATTTTTTAAAACTAAACTAAGACTTTAAGATGTTTATGGAGTATTTTAATAAGAATAAGTCTGCCCACATGTACTCTAAACTATTTAAGATGTTTGTATGGAGTTCCATTTTAATAAGATAAGTCTGCCCACATGTACTGAAATATCATCCCACCATCTGCAGTGGAGGTTATGCTTGTTCCTAGGTTCAAGAAGAACATGATGTCTCTGGATTTTAAGGAATGGTTCACTTTTGCTATAGTTTAGAAAGCTCATTTAATCCATGCTTGGTATTTTACAGATAACTTGTACTATTCTATGAATTTTTTAAGTTTACAATGCAAATTTAATTTTAGATGGTTTAGATGTTATTTTTAGTTGCTTATTGTAAGTGGATTAAAACAAAAAATAGATGCTTAGGCTAATAACTGAAGATAATGTTATGAATAATCTTTTTAAATTCTTGTTATTACTTTTTGGCTGCATTTCAGAACATTTTCACAGTTGGAGTACAGAAGTATATTACTCTCCCACTGTCTTTATTCATTTAGTAAAGGCCGATAGCACACTTTAATGCACTAAAATACAGTTATAACCCAATTTTTAAATGCAGTGCACCACACAAACACAGTAGAGCAATGAACAGCAGCACAATGTACCACAGTGAACATATTACCTTGTGTTGTGCCCTTTATATGGTATTAAATATCTTTTGCAATGTGATACAAATTAGCACATACAAGGGCTATAGCAATCACATACAGTGCATAAAACATTAGAAATGTGTGATGATGATGCACTGGGCAACACATGGCAACAATAGTGGTGTAGTAGAAACATTGGTTGTGGAGAAATATATCTGTTGAGTAGAGTATACATATATTGAAATTTAGCTGGTTCAGCAGGAATCAGATGAATTTCAATGTGTGTGTATCCCTCTCTGTTCAACAGAACCCAGTTGTTAGATCTATGTATTCTGATGGGGGAGTCCAACTGTCAGAAAACAATAGGACAACAAGGAAGATCCTGGCATCCACATCACTTTTGTGGAGATCTATGAGTTTTTTTTGTTCAACAAAAACAAAAAAACTCTGCATGTACACCCTTCTTTAGATGTATTTTCTTTATGTCTTTTGAGGGAACATTTAAAAATTTAAAAGGTTGGATGTTCCAGGAAAACATATATTAATACACATGAATCCTTGATCTACTGTATAGTGTTTTTACAGCTTTACAACCTAACTTGGTTGGGTTGTCTCAGCAGACCTCCTCCATTTACGCAGCATAAGATGTTCTAAAGGTAAAAAAGTCACTTGCATTGAATGAGTGACAATCCAGCAGGTATGTCTTTGACCAACATAAGAAAAAAAACTATTATTGTGACTCAATCAACCACTGTAAATGTCAAATATCAAAATACACCAAAAATAAAACAGAACAAAAAAAAGTACTGCTTATAACACCATGTTATGCAATGGGGTTGATTTACCAAAACTGGTGCAAAGTGCAAAATCTGGTGCAGCTGTGTATGGTAGCCAATCAGCTTCTAACTAGTTTGTTCAATGAAGCTTTGTTATTAAAGCTGATTGGTTTCTATGCAGAGCTGCACCAGATTTTGCACTCTTCAGTTTTAGTAATTCATATTACATAAACAGTACAGTTTTTATATATAAAAAATTTGGCCAAAGTGGTGAAACACCTCCACAGAATATGCTCACATAATAATGTACATCATGCTAGACTCAAACATGACAACAAAAACTGCATATTCAAGTGAGCAACTGAAATTATCACAATATCAATAGCTCACTTGGATATGTGATTTGCTTTTTTATTTCTTTTGTTGTTATAATTTGAATACCGAAGACTCTGCCACTTATTATGTATGTATAGTTTACCAATTATGACATTGAGGCTCTCTATTGTAGTGTTTTGAGGTATGTCTTTGAGTGGCCATAATTCATGAGATGCAGGGCTCAAGGTGTAGGTCTCTCAACATGAGCAAGATCATAAAAAATTAATCCTGCAGGAATTCACTTCCTTTTTTTAATATTGAGAGGTTGAAGAAGAGTCTAGATACATTTCTAGGTAAAGAAGTAAAGACCTATCAAAGATCCTGCTGTGCTTTAACATGTAAGAATGATTAAGACTTTTATTGCAATGTGTCACATTTCACCAGACAAGGCGGGTAGTGGCGACAACGTGGAACGTTCAAAATCATTTAAATTCTTCCAAAGTTCAGTTCATACAAAGGAGGTAATGTTCAAGCTGTCCTCTAGAGGGAATCCTTGTAAGAGGAATACAGGTATGACGAGTCTAGTGCAAGTATTTTACTCCAAAATGGTAAAACACATGATGAGCTTGGAATGCATTGTCCAGAAACATCAGCACATATATTTACAGAGAGTTAAAAACATTTCTTTTGACAAGATGAAAAATACAATGGTGATGCTATGGAGCACAATAAAAATGGAACCTTCCAATTTACAGCAACCTTCTTACAAAATGAGCTCATTAAAAGAGTCCCATGTTAAATGAAAAATGTTCGTGGGTTTTTGGATAATGGTCACAGATGGCTGTTGAATTTAATTTAGTTACATTTGCTGTGACATTAATATGTAACAATGTCTCTGACTGAAGCCCCAGGTAAGATTCAGTCATTTCCACTTGTCTTTCTACGGAGAACTTAGCTTTCTTGTGGTACACAGGGCAGCATCTGTAAAGAAAAAAAATTGAAAAAATTAGTTGTAATTTTCATGCTAAAGTGCAATTATATCCAGACTATGTACATTAAAGCCTAACTCCAGGAGGATAAAAAGAACGATCCCTTGCAGTGGAACTGTCCTGAACTGCAAGAGCTGATTGCTCATTTTGTTTAGGGGAGAGGAGAAACAGTTTTACCTACCAGATCCTTCGCTCTTCCGCTGACGACACTGCACCATGATCCAGCAGTGGACTCACCTTTGGCGTCATGTCCAGAACAGGGCTATAAACCCTTCTCTGGACATGACCTCAGGACCCTAGTCTGATGGAGCATGGGGGTGCAGAAGCTGCAGGGACCAGACTAGCTGCAGGAAGGAGTGGCGGATTAGTTAAGTTCATCTCCTTTTATTGTTTCCCTGGACATAAACAAACATTTGAAACTTGCAATGCGACCACAGCCCTACTGCAAGGGATAGTTTGTTTTCCTGGAATTGGGCTTTGAAGTACTTCCACATTCTTACCAGTGAACTAAGAGCTTTAAAACAATCCTTCACTGACTTCTATAACTGTTGGCACTCTGGAGAGATAAATTCACAATACAGACAATGAAATAAAATCTAATCCTGTATTCAAATCCTTTATTTTCTCTAATAGCATTAACATGGCAGCCCTCCAGTCTCCTAATCTAAACCTCCTTGACAAAAACTGCATTCAATAGACACTGCTGGAAACAATAAATATTCTGTTAAATGGCCCAAGCCCAAAGTATCAAGACAAGCAAAAATACACAAATTACAAAACTGATTATTAAACTGCTCCAGATGCATCTTTTCTTTTGAGATAGGCTTGAAAGTCAATTTACTTTCTCTGCTAAACTTTCTATCTCAGCACCATCACCATCACCATCACCATCACCATGAGCCATATATTGTGCATAAGCACTTTAACAACAATGACACATCACTTACAGCTGCAGACAATTGCGGACTGGAGGATGATCACTTATAGGCATGTAGTATTCATTTTACAGTCATTTTTTCAATAAAATACAATAATAATCCCAAAAACTTTGAGACCGTCATTAGCTGAATTCAGAGATAGTTTTGGTTTGGTGCTCTTTCTATAGAAACAAAATTTTAATGCCCCTAAATCTTCATACAGAATGCTAATGTTGCCAACCAGTGTTAAAATATGTCCATGTACATGTAATGACTTGCATTTATATGATCAGTACAGCAAAAAATCTTTCTGAAAGTAAATCACTTACATGGATTTTCATTCCTTTAAATGCTGAGGTGAACTACAGAGCTTGCCAATTCTGCATGTTCATTGCAGCCTGTGTGTACTGTTGCGGTAAGATATATTTATAATAAGCATTGCACATAGCATTAGAATCTGTCTGCCTACGCTAATACATTTGCCGGTGTGCATGAAGCCTGTTTTTATGTGCCCAACTGTACTGTATATGAGTGCTAGTTTTCAATTGAAATGACCGGTTGAAATGTTGCTTTAAATACTTTTCAAATCAGTTGCCAGTATTTACAAAATGCATTCTGAAATGCCTGATGGCCTCACATTTCCTATAAAGAGGATTTGTCTGGCCAGTGTTAAGGATTAGAAGGAATAAACACATTTGACTGCCGCCCACTGCTAAATATAGTAAAGGATTGTAAAAACACTTATAAACGTTCAAAATGGAACATTTCCTGAGCTAATATTGAATCAATCGATAAGTGTTTACAATAGTTGCATTCAGATAACAGACATATGTGAACAGTATTATAAAATGCTGCTGTTTACAATGATTTTATCAACTAAAATATAGAATAGCAGGACCATGGAAAAACCTTTTGGCAATGCAATGCTTGTTTTATAATACGTTATACTGTGACAATATATTTATTAAAGAACCTTTGGCAAAAGAAAAAAAAGCTCATAATGACTCATATACAGGGGCGGACTGACTATTCGGAAACTCGGGCACTGCCCAAGGGTCCAGGGTCAATAAGGGGCCCCATGAGATGTCCCTGGTACCTTTCATAAGCTTTTTTGGGTGTGGTTTGAGTGTGGGCGAGCACACAGGGGCCCCATGATCCCCTATTGCCCAGGGGCCCCATGAGTTCTCAGTCCTCCCCCTGCCCATATATAATATGTAATGATTATTATTTGCATTTATTTCCACTATCTCCTACATATCAGCTATAATTCAATATGAGGCTGACAAAAAGAGTGCATACACAATGAGTAGAGAAAAGAGAGGGAAAAAAACAGGAGTCTGCCAAGGCTGGCCAGGAGCTGGGAAGGCAGAGAACTCTCTGGGCTCATGTCCCCTGGAGGTAGCATCTCAGGAGCGCCACAAAAACACTATGGGTTTGGGACCCCACTGTGTCTCCTTCTTAAAGTGGTTGTAGAAATAACATAGCATATCCTTCTATAGTGTTTACTTGCCTCAATCTATAGCACTTAGTGAGGATCCTGTCTGTCTTCTCTTTCCTATATCTATAAGTCATTTCTGACAGCTTATCCTGACACCAAGCAATTTCGGAGATGACCCCACCCCCTCCTTCCAGCCAGTGGTATAGCCTTTTCCTGAGGCAAGGAAAGTATTGCACCCTCCAACCCATGGTCCATATGCACTCTCTGAGTCCCTTCCACCAGAACATATATATATATATATATATATACTGTATATGATAGTAAAAACATCTCTGTCTTACTGCACCTTCAAATACATTTCCCCTTCCAGCACAAATCTCCAGGACAGCCACTCCCCTTAATCCCCCTCCCAGCACATATCATCCCACAAAACCCTCTCCCAGCACAAATTCTTTCCCCCCTTCTAGCACATATTCTCCCCCCTTAAACCATTCTTCCCTCTTCTAGCACAAATCCTCTCCCCTCCCAAATCGCCCCCCCCCCCCCCCATCACCCCCCAGCATAAATCCAAAGCACAGGTTGCTTGCTACATAGAGGGAGAGTGAACCTGGGGAACTGCACAGGACATACAAGACATGTTTTCTGTGTGCCTGGCCCCAACTCACCACTGCTAGGTGAACTAAGTGCCAGAACTCCCGTTGCTCAGCCTGGATCTGAAGAACGCTGAGATTTTGTTGAAATCAGTTCTGAGAAATTTGGGACAGTTTGGTGGTATGATTTTGCTCCCCTAAGAATTCTATGCACAGAGAAACTGCCCCTCTGACCTTGGTCATGCTATTCCATTGCCTCCAGCACACAGCAGGTAATTGACAGCCTTAGCTTTGCATGTTTCCCTATGAGATTTTGTAGTGAGCGGTGTGTTATTTCCCTCCACTCAGATTTCAGATTACAGTCAGCTCCCTGATCTGTGATGTGCAGTGTGTAAAGTTATATCACTGCCCTCGCCTTCTAGAAGCTCAGTGTTGTGAAAACTGTGTACTTTGAATGGCTGTGGAGAAGAGGGGACTGCAGATAAACAGGCAAAGCTTATGTAAGAGAATTTGCTTCATTATTGTGTATCACTAAGGCTAGTCACTTCTGTAAGTGTATGTAAGAGGTTTTTTTTACCAATTTAAGCTAGACTTTTTGGCCAAGTAGGGAGTCATTTTTTATTTAAATTTTTTTTTCATGTGTGCATCACTTTCACTTTTCTCTATTATTTCAATTTAGGCCTGCCCAAATGTCCAGAGGGGGAACTGGCCACAAGGTTCCATATCCAACTTCTTTGGACTCTCCCTTCTGGACTAAATTAAACAGGTACAGAAAAATGGGGTGCATCAGGCTTTCGCTAGGTGAACCAAGAGTGCGTTGTCCTTGTAAGGAAGGGGGATGGGGGTGGTTGGGACCTTTTTCTTTGAGAGAAGGATCATTGATACACGCTTGTGCACTTTTTGGTATGTGTTCATGTATTCACTATTTTATTATGTTTTGGTGTTTAGTTTTTTAAACACTGCATCACACATTCATTGACAGACACAGAAATTCAGAAACTGTCCGGTTATTCTGCTCCCCTACTGGAGGTTTGAACACTGGAATACAGAAAAATTGTAGGCCAGCCCTTGTATAGATTCCCTCCTCTGCCCAGGATGCTTCAGTGAAAAAGCAATACAAGGGCCAAGTGAAAATAGAGGGGTGGGAGCAGTGTCACTCAATGGACGCCAAGAAATAGATTTTATGATAAGTACAATAACTGCAAAAATCTTATTTTCTTGCTTGTCAATTTAAAAGGGACACAGAAATTCAGTTCGGATGTCCAAAAGCAGTTCAACAAAGGGGTTGGCAAAAGCCACTGATGGGTCCATGGAGTTCCACCCACCAGATAACATCAGTGCTCAATCCCTCAGCTGTAAAAGTTGTAAAATCGGTGGAGAGAAATTTAAACAAGTGCCCAATGGTTTAAACAGTGACGTAGCTTCCAGTGCTTAAGACTGAATTGCCGGTCTTCACAGACAGGGGCACACCAGGGACTGTGCCACGTTTCTCTATGGCTAACCAATGCAATTTGAAAGGTGCCATGATGCAACCAGTGCCTGAAGGCCACATTGCAGGCTTGTCCTGCACCTCTTGTCCCACGGGGTCTGGGTACGGACTCAAAAGCTATTGTACAGAGGACCAGCTCAAGATTCAATGTCAGCAATCAATCTGAACTGAAATCATGGGAAAAAATTCTGCAAAGCAAATAAGGCTTTTAAAAATATATACTTTTTTCAGCAAATTTGAAAAAAAAAAACATCCAATCTTCTATGACATTAGCAAAAAAAAACTGAAGCTGGGTAGAAAAGCAGTTACACAAGGCCTGGTCTACATGATTACATCCTCCTGTAAGTGTCAGCATAACTTGACTGTATCTGAATTCCTTTGAACCTCTATGGATGAAGAAGAAAAAGATTTATTTTAAAATAATACTATTCAGAACTGATTACCGTATTTTCCGGCGTATAAGACGACTTTTTGACCCTTGAAAATCTTCTCAAAAGTCAGGGGTCGTCTTATACGCCGGTATACGTCAGGGCGGCACTTTTTAGGGGGGCGGCACGG